ACTCACCGGAAATGCCTCCAAAGGGACCCCGCGGGTGACTTCACCCCTTCATTGAACAACAGCAGCCAGATAAACGTTACTAGCAGTAGCCTAGACTGGAGAGCCTCAACGCATGACTGTCTTCCAGTCGATACTCGCGATATCCCTAGGATATATCTGCCGCTGACGGCCGACGGCCGACGGGTGATCGGCTGATGGGGCGTCCTCATCGGCGAAGGAATGGCCCCAGAGACTCTAAGCCTGTTCAGGTCTAGCTGCGGGCGCCTTTTGGCCTCCGCCCTCCAACGTTGTCTGGACCGCCGTCATCTTCCCTCCCACCCATCACCATCCCATCCCATCCTATCTCATCTCATCTCTTTGCGTTTCAGCGCTTCAAAATCAAATGCCAGCTTGTAGCTGACATGTCTAGCTGCTCTCTGCAGCATCTCTTATATACCTATATTCCCTCACGCTTTCTCTGTTCCTATTTCTCTATGGTCGGATTTTCGTTGTACTATCTCCCTCGCCCTTATTTGTCCTCCCCGGTGTGACGGGCTCCCGTGTGTGTGTAGTTGTCCTGTCTCTTTGTGCTTGACCACACAAAGAAATGAGACCTCCTAATACGGCCTTTTGAAGAGCACAGGTTTTACATACATTACGCTCGACTTCCAGCGCACTTGTTCCCTCCCCCTCTAGGCCAGAGTCTTATCTCAAATGGCCGCCTCGGCTCTGTTCCCCTCGGGTGGATTAATTGATCCCACCAAAGACTACCCAATCATCTTGGGTGATCAATTGGCCGGAGGAGATACGAAACCGCAATCGAGATTAATCAACATTCAGTATAATTATAAAACGAAGTCCGCATCCTCGCAGCAACGTACTCATATCACCCGATCTGCGCAATGTCCGGACCTGTATAACCTCACGATCACAGACAAGGCACCGAATGCCGATAGTAGTGTTATAACATACTCATACAAAGGTAGCGTGGATCCAGAACATGCTACGTCGGAGTCCCGCGAGCGGAATCTGGTTTTGGTTTTCGATCCGGACCGTAAGGTCTTTGTTCTCGAGTCGGTTGCGACGCAGTTGAACTTCAATCTTCGGTCGGCACCTAATAAGACTGAAAAGCAGGTGACAGAGCAGTATGTGCAGCTGCGAACATTGCATGATGATGACCAGGGTTCTGGTGACGACGGAGCAGTTGAAGCAGCCGCTGACACCGACGACGGTCCCGCTGATGACAGCAATCCCTACGACTACCGTCACTTCCTGCCAAAAGAAAACGCTGACGATGACAAGTCTGTTTCGGATGGTGCAATGTCAGCTCATCTCAATGCCAGTAAAGCTAATACCCCTCTGATGACCGCGGCTGCCAAACCTACTCCAAGTCCCCAAGTTCGACCCAAGCCTCAAACCAATCCTCTCCGTCGACAACCACGCCCGAGCAAACCTTCTAAAAACCAAACAAAAGCTGCTCCCAAGACGAATCTGGAGCCTCCAGCGCAAGTTGAGCGGGAAGAGCCTCAGGAGGAAGAGATAGAGGAGGTGGAGGAGATCCCAGCTGGCGAAATGAAATCATCCCCTTCGGACACTGGAACCGAATTGGTATCGTCCTTCAAGGCGGCTCCGTCACCAGGCTCTAATATCATAATTGACGGAGATCTGATCATCGACATGGGATCGCCCCCTCCATCTCGTCCCGCTTTCAGGGTTAATCCAGCACACTTCTCGTCCAACAATACCCCAGGGAACGAGGAAGATGATGAGGACGAAGAAATGGAAACTCTGCGGCTACCATCTCCTGTCGGCCGCGGTGGTGCTTCGTCTGAGAGGGTGGAAACAGCACCGGCAACGCAGGAGGAGATTGAAGATGATGACGATGCACTAGCGGCTGAAATGGAGGCTGCTTTCGAGGAAGAAGCGAGGAAGCAGGAGTACCAACCACCGTCTCTGCAGTACCATGTTCCCAGTGATGACGAGAGTGAGGTTAGTGAGGAGGAATGATACCTTTCTGTTCTATTGTCTTAGTTTCCCACATCTTGCATCTCGGCCCCAACTCCGAATTGTCACGATGCCTTTGTCTACAGTATTCTGTCTTCTGTGTGTCAGGTTTATTTGCGTGCATGGCGTCGTTTTGGAGTTTTGCAGCGAGGGCACTGGACCCAGCCCAGTCGACCTGTTCACTAGAGGGAAACGATACCACGATTGATTTATAGTTGTACACAGAAATCTAACAATCTCATTTTCTCTCAATTGAACTCGACAATTTCGAAAGCAGCCTGATGTGTTGTAGGATACGGATACTCCTTGTACAGTGTCAACCGGAGCCGATCTACATACCCCGGAACAACTCGATGATCCGGGCCTTTCGCATCCGCACTCCAGACTATCTTTCGGAGTGTTGCGAGACACTCTGCGCAATCCTGACTTCACAAGACCACAGTATACCCTATCATTGAGAGCCGCCTTTGATCAAATCAAAAGGGTTATTCCGGCTACTCCAGCAGAAAAGTTTCGGAGCTTCTTCCGCACCTACCCAATCACTCGTTCGGCAAACGCCATCTGCTCGTCTTGAGGACGCTTCACAACTCACCTTGATCGCGAAAAGTCAGCTCGCGATACCACGAGGCTTACCATGCGCTATGTTTGATACAAACTCGTAAAACACGCAATTCTGGCATCTCCTTGCTGCGAAGGGAGGACACGCAGCACCACGTGCGGTCAGCGCGCCCTGCTCAGCTGTCCTCCTCGAAGAGATAGGACTTGAACGAACACCGTTCATAGTCCAGAGCACGTTCCGACAAACACCGGACGGAAACATCGTATCAACTTGATTGTATCTCAGGGTGATTGACCTGCGACAAGACAATCTCCTCAATACGTCATGGCCTCGGCACCGTCGCAAACCCCGAAGAGACGGCCTCTACCTGCTGAGTCGAATCCCGTCCTCCACGCATCGCAAGCCCAATGGCTCTTCACAGATGAAGAACTCAATCGTACGCCATCCCAACTCGACGGTATGAAGATGGAAGCGGAGCATACTAGTCGCAGCAAAGGTGTCAATTTCATCACGCAGGTCGGGATTATGCTGAAGCTACCCCAGCCCACTTTGGCGACCGCAGCCGTCTATCTTCACCGGTTTTTCATGCGGTACAGCATGGTCGATATACCGCAACGACCGGGCATGCATCCCTATCCCATCGCGGCCACTGCGCTATTCTTAGCTACGAAAGTCGAAGAGAATGTTCGACGGATGAGAGAGCTCGTGGTGGCCTGCTGCCGAGTGGCGCAAAAGCAGCCGAATCTGGTGGTGGACGAGCAATCCAAGGAGTTTTGGAAATGGAGGGACACAATCCTGCACCATGAGGACCTACTCCTGGAGGCGCTCTGCTTCGACCTGCAGCTCGAACAGCCGTACCGCATCCTCTACGATTTTATCTGTTTTTTCTGCGTGAATGAAAACAAACCGCTCCGCAACGCCGCATGGGCCTTTGTCAACGACTCCATGTTTACGGTCCTCTGCCTACAGTTCAACGCACGCACCATCGCTGCTGCCGCTCTATACGCCGCAGCGCGGCACTGCGATGTGGGTTTTCCGGACGACGACCGCGGTCGAGCGTGGTGGGAGCAGATTGACGTGGATCTGACGCAGGTGCGTCGCGCCTGCATGAGAATGGCACAGCTCTACGAGAACAATGCCATGCAGAAACATAGCCAGTACTACCCGACCACCCCAATACTGTCGGACGAGGGCACTGAGAAGACCAGGATCCCGCACGCTGGCAGTCCCGCGAATCGTCCTCCAGCGGAGTCAGACGTCACTCACGGACGAAAACGATCGAAAGAGCCAGAAGACAGCGGCGAACCTCGAGGAGATCGCTCAGCCCCCTCCAACGGAGAGCGTTCTCCGAAACGACCTCGCAGGGAGTCGGATGCCGCGCCACGTGGCAGCTCGCAGGATCAACAACAGAGCCCATCCGCTCCTTCCTCGCAAAGCCTACCAAACGCAGGGAGCCCTTCCTCCTTCTCCTCGCAGGGCCGGGCCCATCCCAACGGCCAGGTACCTCCGTCATTACCTCATCCCCCACCTCACCACCGTCACCCACATCCCCTACCACCGGCTCCCCGTCCATTCCCGCGTCGAGATAGCGACCACCGTCCTCCGGGCGGCGGAAAAGTGGCAGGTCCAAGGGAAGCCGATCCAATTCAACAACGCATTGACGAAATCGTTTCACAGAATATGCCGACGCACGGTGGTCCACCAGTACCACCACCACCCGCAGCCGGAGTGAGGATCCCCAACAGACGAAACTCAGTCGATCGCCGGGGACCTGACCGGTACCGCGGGTACGATGATTCCGCGAGAGGACGACGGCCGTCCTTCGGAAGGAGGTCGCAGTCATTCGAGGAACAGCATCCACCGCCCCCAGGACACCCTCATCATCAACCTCTACCTCCACCGCCACCACCTCCCGATATTCCTCAGCCACCACCTCCACCCCCGCCCTCACAACCGGAACAAGCCGCTCAGGAAGATGAAGGCGGGGGCAGTGAAGAAGGGGAGCTTTGATTATGGTTTCGCCGTAGACTTGAAACTCCTCGTGTTCTACGACAGCCACAATTTCCAAGGTCCGGAGAACATACATGATTTCAGACGAAGAAAAGGAGGGAGTCTCTCCAACTGATTGACTGATCAGTGACCTGGCGTGACGCCGCACTACTTCATGGGTCATATAAATCATTCTTCTAGCGGCTCGATCAGCTGCTGCATTCATTGCATTTATGCACTACTTCCGGAGCATGCATTGGTTGGCGGGGTGGTCGACTTTATTTGGATAGTATATTATTCAAGATTCCAGCAATATAGAACGGATATTGTACGCCGTTGATACTTGAATTGTAAAAAAATCCGATATATACGGTTTCCAAGCAAGATCTCCAGTAACGCGAGTGGTAGTAGAATTGAAACAAGGCCGAAAGTGAAATGCAACGATTGGACGAAAAGAAATTAAGAGCTATTAGTAACCTTGGGTCATAACGCCAACTCCATTGTTGTCAAGTAAGCTGCTGGAAGCCACAAAGCTGAATCCGCCGAACGGGTCATTGTCACAACTCATCCCATCCGGACCTGTCGACATTGCACGCTGGCTGGGGCGCCGGCGAAGAGAGTAATAGTCGTCAAACCCGTTGCTGGTGACGACCGGACTCAGCGGCAGGGCGGTAAAGTCAGCAGAGAAGTTCTCCGCCAGAGCCGGGTCCGTGACGACAGGGAGGATAGGGGGAGCAACCTCGCGGCGTTCGAGCGCCTTCCAGTCAATCTTCCGGAAGAAGCGATGGTTCTTGATAGTCTGCAGGTCCTTTGGCATGTGGTAGCCGAGTCGCTTGGAAGGTTCCTTGCGCAACAAGCGGGTGAGAAGGTCTTTGGCGTCCGGACCAAGGAAGTAGGGCAGTGTGAGCTTCTGCTTGACAATTTTCTCCTGCAGCTTGGCGTTGTTGTTGGCCTTGAAGGGCGGGGAGCCGGTGAGTAGATCGTAGCCGAGTGCGCCAAGAGACCACCAGTCGCAGGCTTTGCCGTACGGTTTGCCTTGAACGACTTCGGGAGCCATGTACTCAATCGTGCCCAGGGACGAGTTGCAGCGATCGTCATCGTTGACTGCGATCTTGCTGAGGCCGAAGTCGGTCAGGAGCAGGTGGCCATCGCGGTCCAGGAGACAGTTCTCTGGTTTGAGGTCGCGATAGATCACACCCACATTCTGGTGCAGATGTTCGAGAGCGAGTACCATTTCGGCCATGTAGAATGCGGCGGCATCTTCGTCGAACATGCGTTCCATCGCCAAGTGGTGGAACAGCTCACCACCCTGGGCATATTCTAGGATGAGGTACAGCTTCTCGTGGTCCTGAAACGCGTAGAAGAGTTTCACCACAAATGGATGACGGTTCACACTTTCCAAAATCGCGCGCTCAGTCTTGGTCTGCTCCACGAGTTTCTTGTGAACGGTGAGCGATGCCTTACGGAACTGCTTCTGAGCATACAACTTCCCCGTGAGCGCATGGCGTACAAGCAGCACGGTTCCGAAGGAACCCTTGCCCAGGCAGAGCAACGGCTCAAAATCTGCGGTTGTCATCTTGCGGCACAGCTGACTGCGGAAGTCCTGCGCACCGGGGAGACTCGCCGACGTTTCTTCCGCTGCGGCATCGGAGCTGACGAAATCATGTTCCAGGGGTACTTCGTAACTAGTCAGGACCTCTGTCTGGTCGCTGTCCGAGCAAACGCTTGCATTGCTCGGAGTTTCAAAGCATAGGTCACTCCGCGCAGCCTGAGCGCTACCGCTGCCGGACAAGCTGAGCGAATCGAGTTGAAGCTTCAAAGCGCTCACTCCACATCCGGCAGGTTGGACCATGGGACTGTTTCCATTGCTCTCTGCCTGAGCGCGTGCTCGTGACGAAGGACGAGCCTTAGCGCTTGTGGTCGAGAAATCCGAGTCTTCGTCGCCAGAGGCAAGTGGAGTAAATCCGCGAACGGTGGGGATGGCCCGGGGAGCTTCACTCGTCTGATATTTCTTCTTCTTTCTGCGACGGTCTGGTCTGCCGGACAAGGCCTCGACGTTGAGATTGGCCGGAAAGGGACTAACTTCACTGACATCCTTAGTGACCATAACTTGCTTGCGGGTCGGACTGCCACCACTCATGCGAAAGCGACTATCAGGGTTATTGTCGAGAAGGCCATCGTTACGAGGTTGCGACATGTCCGCCTGGGGTGCGAAGACGTCTCCCACAGAAAGATCATCATGCATCGGTGCATCCATGTCTTCGGCAAAGGATCCCGGTCGTGGACAGCGACGGCAAGATTCGAACAATGAGATCGAAAAGCGCCGACAAGCACGCTTTGTTATTCAGACCTCAATTCATCCACTCCACCCCTAACAGTAAACAGGCACGAGCCTATCGAAGAATATCTGATTGCGCAAAATGATTGTTAGCTCCCTTGACAGACATTGCGGGGTAATTCCCAGGCGAAACGCGGAACAGCATGCAGGAGCGAGTGAGGAGAGCATCCAGGGGCCAGAAACATACCTTCAACGCGAAAAATCCAGAGCAGAAGTCACCGCCCCCACTCGTAATGTAGCAGGACGTCACACTCGTAGCTCTGAATATCTCACAGTTTACCGTCCGCCCTTCTTCAGGACGGACCAGGGACCCCTAGCCAAACCACCTCGGCAACCGAGAAGTCGAACAGCAGGGGAGCCGACAAGTCTTGAATATTAGACAACGCGTATTTCTCCAGAGATCCGCGGGGAGCAAGCCCGAAGGTTCGATTCAAGGTTAAGGAGTGAGAGTCGGCAAGGCAGCCAGCAAAGCGGATAGAAGCGGACGAGGACAGGGAGGGCGCAGACAGGCACATAGAGGAACGGCAGATGTGATAAACGAGGATGAGAAGCTGGATCAGTATCCAAGTGAAGAGAAATGGTATGGTTATTCCTGAGAGCAAGGAGTAAGGGAGAAATGGCAGGCTGAATGTCAAGAGATCCAACTTTCACAAAGAAAAAGCACGTCCGTTGGAGAAAACGATGCGGAGCTGCGGGGCCAATCAGAGCGCGTGTGACCTAAGCGAGACTATTCCGCCTTGAGTAGAATGCTTTCACGTGCTGTCGTCATTGGATCGAGATCGCGAGGATAATGGTCTGTATTCTTCATTTGGACTTAGCATGTGTACCTGTGCAGGTCATACGAAGAAGAGGAACAGACTAGCTTAGACTGTCTTGCGTGCATATATCACTGAGCCACTCGTAAGTGATCTACATGGCAAGGCGGAGGTAACCGTCAAGAGGAGAGAACTACATACATACCCACGCCCTGATCCAAAACGAAGTCATAGAAACAGTAAGCCTGCGTAAGAAGTTTCGATACAGTAAACGAAGAAAGGTTGTTTGAAGATTGATTCTCCTTGGGTATTTGTTTACAATATGTGCCCAGTAACTAAGCTGACAGTAAGCTGACAGGGACATGTTGTATAGACTAGGGATGTCAGGACATCATATGCATAAGGCCACACAATCCGATGATATTTTGACTATACCCTTCCTCCTTCCAGATCTGATCTCTCGAAGAATGCCTGTGAGCGGGTGATCTCGATCCCAGATCTCTCGACAAACGAAAGTGCACTGGGTTTTTCTACCCTCACCGTGACTCGTTCATTGGCAAACTGCACGGTAACTATGCGCGCAACGAAGGTAGCCAGTGCCTCCACGGTCTGGAATGCGGTCTCTTCCACTTGCTGAGACAGAGAAACGCAAGTCAGTTTTGAGGCTTGGCAGAAAATAGTAAGACGATGAGCGACTTACCTCAGCAACCCTTCTTGTCATCTCCTGATAAGTATCAACAACCGTCGAGCCCCAAGCTAATTGGCCAGGGCCCTTGAATTCCAATGAGATGATAACGGCCTGCTTCTCAACCCTCTCGTGGGAATTCACCCCAAGGATACAATGGCACCTGATACCATCAATCCGGAACTCCTCCTCCAGGACAACAGGGCAACGTTCCGCGTCAAGCGCTCTGTTCTCATCTCCCTGCCGATACCCCCAGACAGTGACGCTCCGATACTTCAAGCCTTCTTCCGCACGCAGCAGCGCCTTGGGCAGCTGCAACCAGACCTCGCACTGACCAAACACACTATCAATGGGCGGACTCGCCAACGACAGCCCCGCGAGCGGCGCCTGTATCTCAGCCGACGCACTCCCTCTCCTCGAGCCCGGATGGCCATGGACATGCGACATTCTCCGGATCCCGGCAGCCGTCTCATCGAGTAGCCCCAGGCCGCAGTTCGCGACAATCCCCGCAGTCAGCCTTACATCCTGCCCAATCTCTGTGCGCATCATCTCATCCCTCCGACTTCCGTCTGCGCTGATCATTCGCTGAGTCGGGGAGAGGCTGTGTTTTCCCATGTTGCGGATGTCTTCTTCCAGGCGGCGGTAGAGCTTGCCGTAATCGAGGGAGAGGGAGACATCATCGGCGGCTGCGGCCGCGATAGCGGATGAGTAGGATAGTTTCAGTGATGCGGTGCACGGTTGTGGCTTTCCGTCGCGATGCCAAGGGTCTGGTGCAACGGGCAAGGGAAGTTGAATGTTGCGAAGCTGAACGCTGTCCAGGACGGCTGGGTGGGAGGGGATATGGACGTTGACCCGTTGCTCGGCCATGTTTAGGGATATGTATTCGTATGTAATGTTTCTCTTGTTGTATGGAGACGGATCTGCTCAAGTATCGGCTTTCAAGCTCAACAGGGTAAATTCGCTAGTGATAATGGCAGTAATCCTAGGTATCTATCCTAGGGATCTTCGTGAGCAATGACCCTCTTCTGGCGCAGAATAAAGA